CATCTAGGTCAATTGGCATAACAAAGTTTATTAAGAAAATATTCTGCATCCTACTTTGGTGAGTGGCATCTGGGGTCTTAAAAGCTAGCAAGCAGCCATCCAAGATTCATCAATTGGTCCCAATTCACCTAGAGTAATGGAGAATGAAGAACACCAAAGCCACAAGGAAAGTATTAGCCCAAGAGACAGAAAGGGCCACATAAACCAGAGACTGCATCAGCCTTAGACCACAAGAACTAGATGATGCCCAGCTACCACCAATGGCTGCCCTGACAGGGAACACAACAGAGAGTCCCTGATGGAGCATGAGAAAAGTGGGGTGCAGAACTCAAATTCTAGTAAAAAGCCCAGACTTAATGGTCTGACTGAAACTGGAGAATCCCCAGAAAGCATGGCCTCTGGACTGTCAACCCAGAACTAAAACCCATTCCTGAGGCCAACTTTTCAGACAAAGATTAGACTGGATTATGGGACACAGAATGATACTCATGAAGAGTGTGCTTCTTAGCTCAGGTAGATACACGAGACTAAACAGGCAGCTCCCGTCCAGAGGTGAGATGAGAAGGCAGAGAAGGTCAAGAGCTGGTTGAATGGTCACGGGAAATCAGGGGTGGAAAGGAGGAGTGTAATGTCACAGTATAGGCAGAGTACTTAGGGTCACATAACAATGTATGTATAAATTGTTGTATGAGACACTAACTTGAATTGTAAACTTTCACTTACAATACAACAAAAAAAAGTAAATTGTAGCAATATAATTGTAGAAACAGAGAAACCAATTAGAACGCTACTGTAACAGCCTATGTGTGAGGCAAAGGTAATCTGGACTAAGGTAGGAGCAGTGGAGGCGAAAAATTATGGAATTTTGAATATACTTTGCCAGTACGGTCAACAGACCCTCCCTATGGATGCAGCAAAGAAGCAGGGCAGGAAGCAAGGTTGATCAGTGGTTCTCAATGCAGGGCGATTTTGCTCCCCAGGGGACATACGCAATGTCTGAAGACATTTTTGGTTGTCACAGCTAGATGAAGCGTGCCACTGGCATCTAGTAGGTAAAGGCCAGGGATGCTGCTAAACATACTACAGTGCACAGCACAGCCCCTATTAACAAAGAATTATCTGGCCCAAAATATCAATAGTGTCAAGGTTGAGAAACCCTGATCCCAAATGGTTCCCATCCTAGAACACCCATACTTCTGGGTGATTAAAAAAAAAAAAAAAAGAAATGGCCTACTTACTTTCAAAATTTAAAGACAACTAAAATAAATGTGGTGTACGTGGGACAAAGTTTATTTGCTTTAGGGGTAAATTATATCACTCTGTTAACACTACGTTGATCAGAAACTCTGGTTGGTATATAAATCTGATTAATAAAATACGAGAAAACCAATTTCTGCTTAATAAGCATCATTTGTTTGATGGGCAAACTTTCTCTAAATACAACAGAATAACTTCTATCTGGCAATACCTGTCAACGCTACTGTACTTATACATCCCAACTATGCTTAAATCTACATATTCCAATACATTCAGTGCTTTTTTCAAATACAAATTCCCATAAAAATTTAAAGGGATGCCTACAACAGTAAAATCAGGACTACAAAAACAAGATTGGAGGGAAATAATGGCCCACTTGTCCCTACGTGCATATAACTGTTATCTGATTTATTTCGGCCTTGAGCAAATGGACACATTCAATTTATGTATCAGGAACAGGATTGCAATATACTTTTTTCGGAATTACTGTAAGACCAGCAATAGGAAAAGTACTCTTTCAAATCCAGTTCACAAGAAACAAAATGCCACGAAGCTGGGAAAGTTCAAGTTATTCTTTGTTATCTAAATGCAAAGAATCTTAGGAGTAAATCGCTGTGATACACTCAAGAATAAACAAAATAAGCACTCTAATAAATTCCTGGAACCACAAAATAATTACTATTAAGACAGTAAATTATGTACCCCGATATGCTTCGGAAAGTCTAGGGAAATGTCTGGAATTACTTGGTAACTGAATTAGATAACAGAAAATACAAAAATTATCTACCCTGAGTTCAGGAGGTCGAAAGGACAATTCAAAATATTACCTTACATTTGAGTTCCCACAGGTTGGGACTGAGGGGGAACTTTCTTCGAAGCTGCAAAGTCAATTTTCGACAACTTCCTGACGGATAGAGGAAATTCTTAATTATAAGGACCTCAATAAAACTGGCCAAGGCCACAACCAATATACTAGGTTACTAAATCTGGTTAACACTTAATTCTAGAAACAATTTTTTTAAGTAAAGAAAAGGAATCGTATTGCTATAGCTTCGCTCACATTATTTAAACAAAAACTCTGAAACCAGTTTAAGAACTAACATGCCCCCGGGCTGAATTCATCACAAATTGTGATAAAACTAAAATATCTGACAGTCTGCAAGTAAAATACAGGGACACTTTACTACCCTGAGAATCACGCTGGGTTCCCGCTAGGCCGGGCGGACGTTTTCGGGGGCATCACCGCGCGGCGTCCCGGGCGCTTCGCCGAGGGGCCCTGCGGCTGCAGCGCTCTCGAGACACTGTTGCGTCGCCCGGCCCGTCGACGTCACACCCTTACACCCTTCCCCAGGGATACACAGAATGACCCCCGCGATAAACTCATCCTTGCATCAGCGACCAATAAAAAACAACTACTCCTTTTGCTTCAGACTTTCCGAAACCCAAGGCCAATCGCGGTCGCACCAGCAGTCTTACCCACCCACATGAACAAACACAGCTTAATCACAAAAACCCGCGGAGAGAAAACGCCAAAATAACCCCCGTTCTCGCGAAATCTTAAACACAACTCCCGCGACATTTCTCTCCTCCTTCTTTCTCAGCTCCACCCCCACAACAACTCGTTACCTCAGAAACCTCGCGAGATTTCCTTCTCTCGGTGCCCGCCCCTTTACGGCACGATGGTCGCACAAGAATGCGATACAGACTCCACAGCCGCCATTTTCTTTCTTTCTTAGCAGTTAGCTGAGAGGAGGGTGTCTGCGAAGACGCGGTAGCGGCCACTGTAGGGTAACCATGGCAGACTATTCAACGGTGCCTCCACCCTCCTCGGGCTCAGCTGGTGGTGGCAGTGGCGGTGGTGGAGGAGTAAACGATGCTTTCAAAGATGCGCTGCAGAGAGCCCGGCAGGTACGTCTGGACCGCGCGGCGGGATCCCGACAGCTCATGGTAATTGGCCGCTGGCTGACTAGGCCGCTACCCCTCGCGCATGAGGAAGAGTCAAACGGTGACCTTCCGGCCTCCGAAATGTGAGGAGACTCCCGTCTCCCCACATTGTTATGCTGGTTAGAGACCAGAACCCGGTTTTGTGTTCGTGTCTAAGCTGCTTAGAACCCACGCGTGCTACACAAAATGGCTTTAGGTCTTTTCTCCCGTTTTTGCGGCACTCGGCGCTTCTGCAAGGAGTTAATCTCTTTTTCCTTAGGGTGAACATCATCTTTCATGGGATAAAGCGCACGTAGTTTTACACAATAGTGTGGAAGTTTCTGGTAATAATGAGTTTGAGAAAGGACTAACGTTTGCCTTCAGGAGCTGTAGTCAGGGATTTGTCATTAAAGCAGCCTTTACAGCTTCCAACTCATTCTAGTTCTTCTTCGCAGTTAAAGGATCTTTCTGTATCATTCACCTTCACACAAGGAAGAGACTTAAGAGCGTTAGTATCCCGAGTTGGAATCCTTCCTCTGGGCGGGATTTCCGTGTCAGCCAAAGTTGTACCAGTCCTTCCCCCATTATTTCTCAAAATGGCCTCAGGCTCCTTATACCCGAAGTTTCAATTTGAATCTGTCTCTCTATTCAGAGGCGTAAACTGACGAGACCTCTTTGTATTGAGTAGGTGCGTACCTTTGCCCCGAAGGCACTTCTTTCCCAAGTGAAAGGTGTGAAAAAACTAGTATAGACTATAGTGTTAAGAGAATGGCAATCAGTAATTTTGTAGTGTGTTTTGATTGCAGTAGTTCACTTCGTTAACTTGTTTTTTATCCTCCAGTACGATTAAAGGATCATTTGACTCAAAAGCAAAATTCATAAAAATATAGTTACACTCATTTATAATCAGAAATATTTGCGAGAATTCGCAAAAGGTTATCATGTATATTAATAATAGGCTTTTTTTCACCTAATTTTTTTTAACCACTTCAGAACATGGTTAGAGTAACAATGGAAGCATTTATATAACTGTGGCAGAAATCCTGTTAGTGATTTTATTGATTTTTTTATTCAGGTGGGAAGAGTCACCAGAATTATTTTATTCAGTCACCGTATTGATTTAATTTGTGCTAGACACCGTACTCAGATGCTGGAGATTTTTAATGTGTAAATTGAGTCTTCTAGAAAGCAGTAGTATAATCAGGGAACCAAATGCAAATGAACAGTACCAAAAAAACCAAAACCCTTTGCCATCGAGTCGATTCTGACTCACAGCGACCCTATAGGAAAGAGTAGAACTGCCCCATAGAGTTTCCAAGGAGCACCTGGTGGATTTGAACTGCTGACCTTTTGGTTAGCAGCCATAGCACTTAACCAGTATGCCAGCAGGGTTTCCCAGTGAACAGTACTATCTGATTAATGCTATCAGAGAGGAGTAGACAAAATATGAGTGCTGTTAATTCAAGCACTTGTTCTATAAGCATTTATGGAGTTCCTACTAGTTCTTACTAGGCACTGTGCAAGGTATCAGGGTACCTAACTGCCCAAGTAAAAGAGTGATGTTGAGCAAGGCATTAAAGAATGAGTGTGAGTTTGACCACTGGAGAAAAGAAGCAACATGTGTAAAGGTGTGGGGATTTTGCAATGACAAAAACCTAAGAGTGGAATCACTGTAGGATAGTAAGTGGGCAAGGAGGGTGGAAAATGAGGTGAGAAGAGGTACAGATGATTTGGGGATCCAAATTGTGAAACACCTTGGATTGCATGCTTTAATTGAAAATTCGATTTTATTATTTGGCTGAGTTGTAATTTCCTGAGTAAAGTTAGACTTTTTAAATATTGAAATTATTCTCAAACTGTGTAATTTCCTGTGTTTTCCTTGTATAAGTCAGCTGCCCTCATGGCTTTGCTGTGATGATTTAAATGTTTCTTTATAGAATTAATCTTAAATCTGAGATTCCCAGTTGTTGAATTATCCTTTTTTACTACATTTGAGGATGCCTAGAATTAATCTTAAATCTGAGATTCCCAGTTGTTGAATTACCCTTTTTTACTACATTTGAGGATGTCTCTATATATCAGTTGTAGCTGTTTGTCTAAATTAAGTGTGGAATAATTAGAAAAGAGTACTACTTTGACTGAAATAAGTTAGGTCAGTTATCAGAAACCCTTTTTCTCATCTGTACAAAAAGTATATTATATTTTCAATATCTCCATCTTACCTTAAATTTCTTTTCTTTGTCCAGAGTATAAAAGTATGTTCTTTAGGAGGAAAACATATAAGAACAATTTTTTTACCTCAAGGAGCTCAAGAGGTGTTTGTGAATGGGGATGCTATTAGGATTTTTAACTGGACAACTCTTACTCAGATATTAGGTTCCCTAGTTCTACCTAATAAATGCCAGTAGTATTTATTCTATCTAATTGTTGCATTCTGACAATTCAGGCAGAGTTGCTGATCTTTTCTTTTTGTAAAGAATCCTGATTAACTTATTTTTTATGTGAAATTTCCAAACTTGTATAATACTCTGGACAAAATCTGGCAGAGGGGCACCAGATTGCTTCCCTAGTTTTGGATTTCCAATGTCTACACTTTAAAATTCCTTTTTTTTTTTTGTAGATTTCAAACTGTAACTCCAGAGGGTGGAATTAGGATTTTTTTAAATTAGGTCTTTTGTGATCACATCTAAAAAGGAAGTTTAAATGAAAGGTTTGGCGGTTTGAACCCATCTAGCACTTGGTAGGAGAAAAACCAGGCAATGTGAGACTAGATGAATAGAGTGGTAGATCACAAACTAAGCAAGAATAGGTTGTTTCCATCCTTTTACTTCTAAACAACTGTTCAATTAGTCATTAAATATTCCATTACTCTTGATCCTCTTCCCTAATAATTGTAAAAATGATTCTGGCTGCAGTATATTCTTTGGATGATACGAAAATACAAAATAGAGCTGTTGGTTTTTTATTACCATCTCTTCAGTGAAAATTAGCATTTGGGTATGATTTATTATTATTATTATATTTTGTGACAGGATAGGAGAGGCTTAATTGTGATAAGCAAAGATCCCTGTGTTCTAGAGAGGGGACTTGAAGAATATTAATAATGGCCTGATAATATTTCTGGTGTCCTCCACACCTCTTCACCATTCTAGTCCATGGGAATTGAATCCACAGAACCCCGCCCATAGTATGTACTCAATATTTATTTAACTGGATCAATAAATATCTAATGAATTAATGCAGTAATGAAATTTTGTTTGCAAGATAATTCTGTTCTTTCAAAATTTATTTCTTGCGTGCCTACTATATGGCTAGCATTGTACCAGATCCTAGGGATACAAAAACAGATACAGGCACATTTTTCACAAATAGAGTATATGTTTTTGGTCAGGGTGAATAAAAATCTTGTTGAATTTTTTAATCAAATGTTTGAAGTTTCATTGTGAACACTGCTTTATAGTTGAATTACAGTATGTTGATTTGTTCATAATAGCCAGCAACTTATTGAGGATATACTATATATTAGGCTCTGTGCAAGTATATCTTGTATTAACTTATTTAATCCTCACAACATTCCTGTTAGGTAGGCATAGAAACTGTATACAGATAAGGTAAATGAGGCACAGGATACTAAAGAAAATTAGGTAAAGGACTCAAAGCAAGATCATAGCCTCTAGCAGTCTGATTCCAAAGCTTAGGGGGAAGCATGTAGTGGACTGAAAATTAGGAGATAGGCATTTTGGCAGTTTACTTGTCTTCTGGTAATCAGCTTTTATTTTATTTTTTAAAATTTCTGAAATCAAGGAGTATGACTAAGTAACCTCTTCAATGAATTTACTTTTAATTCTGAAGTTATTGGATTCTACGAGTGGTCAATGAAGAAAGTGAAAATGCTAAAACAATGAAAGCAAGAAAAACTCATTCAAGTAGTGGAATCAGGTCCAAATGGAAAGCTTGAATTACGCTGTAAATTAAAATCAAATAAAGTTAGGGATTACCTACACTTAATTCTACATGCCTAATGAGGATCGTGTACAGTTAGATGTTAGGAATTGTTGTTTATCTTAAAGTAGTCCTCCTTGTGGCCTAGGAAATACACATATCCTGTTGATCTTAGAGAATTGATCATCAAGTCTGTGTTGGTATTTTTACTGAAAAGCTCTTTAATGTAATTGTCTCATTTCTGAATTTTTGAGGTAGTGTTAATGGTTCTTTTGAGTGGATTAAGTATCAGGCTGCATTTTAATTTGGATAGTCTTCAAATAATGAATTAAAAAAAACAAACCTATTGCTGCCAAATCTATTCCAACTCATAGCAACCCTATAGGAGAGAGTAGAACTGCCCTGTAGGGTTTCCAAGGAGTGGCTGGTGGATTCGAACTGCAGACCTTTTGGTTAGCAGCCCAATACTTAACCACTGCACCGCGAGGGCTACTACGCCAGAATAAGGAGGTATAACTAAGTAAACTTTCTCTGTGCAAGTTTCTTGAAGTTCAGGGAGTGGTGCTCTGCAAACTCCTAGAGCATTTATAAACACTAGTAGGTATTTACAGCCTAAACCATTTGTCATTAATTAGTAGTGTTATTTTCTCTGACCTGAATGTTATGAGTTTTTAATGAACATTTCAAATACTTGAGTGCTTTAAAATGTAGGGGTCGAAACGCAGGTGTTTTCAGATGTGATTAGGAAAACTTTCAGGAAAGAATTAAGATTTGAATTAAATGGTGAAAGACACAAAATTTTGATTGAGAAAGTGAAAAATGGTTAAGGAAGGTTAGATTGACCAGAGTTACAGAGTCAGGAAAATCAGATGTGTGGAGCTCTTTTTATCAAGGGCTATTATACTTAATTCTCATGTCCTTCATAGTAGATATTTGTATTTATAGATGAGAAAAGAGAAATCTAGGAACCCTAAGAAGTACAGTTGGTTTATGGAATCTGATACATATTGAATTTAACTGATACACATTGAACATAAGATTCAGGTCCTTGAGTTTGCCCTTCCACCTAAACCAAACCTGTTGCCATCAAGTTGATTCCGACTCATAGCAGCCCTATAGGACAGAGTACAACTGCCCCCATAGGGTTTCCAAAGCTGTAAATCTTTATGGAAGCAGACTGCCACATCTTTCTCCATAGTGCACCTGGTAGGTTCAAATCCCATCCACTTCTGTTCAGCAGCTGGGCGCTTAAACCACTGCTCCACCAGGGCTTCTCAAATTTGCCCTTACTCTGTCCATTTTCCTGATAATAAAGCTTGAGGCAGTTGAAATAGTTCTATATCAGGATTTCCATGTTAGGTTCTGTAAGGAATAATCCTAATAAAACTATTATGTCTGATGATTATTGAAGATGGGTGATGGATAAACTGGAGTTCCTTACATTATTTCAGTTTTGAGTATTCTTGACATTTTCCATGATAAATTAACCAGAAAACCAAATTTTAATGACAGTAACTAGCATGGAGCCGTGTATAAATTGAGAAAAAAGGTATTGCCCAAAGTTGAAGGCATTTGGCACCAGATAGAGATGTCCACCATTCACTTGCTTTATGTGACCTTGGTTAAGTTACCCCTCTGGGATTTTTTTCAAGTGTAAAATGAATCTACATTACTGAGTACTCTGCCTCATGGGGTTATGGTGATTCAGTGAAAAAATGTGTCTAAAACGTTTATTATAACATATAGTGTAGATGATCCAACAGAATGCAGAACCATATTTATGCCTGTTGCGAAGAAAGGTGATCCAGTCGAATGCAGAAATTATCAAACAATATCATTAGTACCACACACAAGTAAAATTTTGCTGAAGATCATTCAAAAGTGGTTGCAGCGGTATATCCACAGGGAACTGCCTGAAATTCAAGCCAGATTCAGAAGAGGATGTGGAACAAGGGATATCATTGCTGATGTCAGATGGATCTTGGCTGAAAGCAGAGAATGCCAGAAAGATGTTTACCTGTGTTTTATTGGCTGTGCAAAGGCATTGACTGTGTGGATCATAACAAATTACAGATAACATAGCAAAGAATGATAATTCCAGAACACTTAATTGTGCTCATGAGGAATCTGTACATAGATCAAGAGGCAGTGGTTCAAACAGAACATGGGGATACTGGATGGTTTAAAGTCAAGAAAGATGTGTGTCAGGATTGTATCCATTCACTGTACTTATTCAATCTATGCTGAGCAAATAATACGAGAAGCTGGACTGTATGAACAAGAACGGGGCATCAGGATTGGAAGAAGACTCATTAACAACATGCATTATGCAGATGACACAACCTTGCTTGCACTTAAACCACATCTCAGTTTGGACTAGCCACATTTCAAGTGCTCAGTAACCACATGTGATTGTGGCTACTTTATTGGATAGCACAGCGTTAGAGTCCTACAAGATGTTCAGATTCTCTGCCCACATACAGCTTTTCAAGAATCATAAAGGCCATGAAGAAGACAGAATTAGGATGCAGGTTTTCTTCAAAGCTATTTGGTCTGTGTCTTCTAAAGATTTCTAGTTGATTACTTCTTTGTTGGTTCTCGTAGGGGTGTATCAGAAGGTTAATTCCAGTTGATGATTGATTGATTGATAATGCCCTGAAATATTAATAGTAGCAATAAACTGATCTGTAACTTTGTCTATTAAATTAATATCACTGTGTAATACTAAAGAATATTTAGCATAGATATGGGTGAGGAAATCTACTATTGAATATAATATATAATAATTTGTGCCATTCTTGATGAAGATGTGGATTTTTTTTTTTAAAGATTGCAGCAAAAATTGGAGGTGATGCTGGTACATCACTGAACTCAAATGACTATGGTTATGGGGGACAAAAAAGACCTTTGGAAGATGGAGGTAAGTTATACCATAAATATTTTAGATATTTTACACGGTGTTTAGTTGAAGTGATTTTTCAATATTTTTCAAATGTTTTTATTGAAACATTAATCATACGGTTCCTAAAATTGTAAGATTTTTGTTAGCCTCAAAAAGAAAGGAGAAAGAGAGACCTAGACAAGGTAGGTAAAATTTGGGTCCACCAGCAAGTTTTATCTTATTAAGGAGCAGTTCAGTTTTCTTTCTTAAAGCATTGTGCCAGATTGAAAGTTTGCACAGACTTATTGTTAATATAATGGAAAAAACAAAAAATATGAATCGTTTAGGAGACATTTCACTCGTTTTTCTCATCATGCATGAATGAATCTTTATATGCTATGTTTTCATGATTTTGCTATTTCAGATTTCACTTTAAAGGTTGAAGTTGCTATAGCTTGCTACTTTAGTGTGTTGCAGGTTATACCATTTTTTATGTTTCGTTTGTTTTAGTATTTTGTGTTTCAGGTTTAACTTAAAACAGTGGATTTACAGTGCTTTTTTTTTAATGTTGAAGTTCTGAACTTAGAAGTCTGCACGTAATTTTTCTTTTAGGTTTGATGTATGAACTTTGATTCATTTTCTTTTTGCCCTCTTTGTTTTGTTTTTTGTTTGTTTTAAAAGAGGATTCTTGAGCCTATAGAATGTATTAGTAGCTTTTTGACCAGGAGTACTTGGTTTCCTTTTATTTAAGTGTCTTTCATATTTATAGTGAGGTTTTTAATATACAAAAGAAAATGAGCTAATGATGCTTCAGATGTTGTATGTAATGTATTCTTTTTATTTTATGTGTAGATGGCTCTTGGACAAGTCCGAGCAGTACAACACACTGGGAGGGAATGCCCTCTCCTTTTAAAGGCAGGAATTTTTATTTATTACCTGTGTTTAGTATGTAAACGTGAAATAAACCAGTGGATTCTTGAAATGGACACAAATATTTCTTGGATTATGTGTCTGAATTTTTACTGCACAACATTCTGATGTTTAATTATTTACGTTTGAAGGGGGGAGGAGAATAGTACTTTCAGTTACAGGTTGTCTCTTCTAAGGTATGCATTGTATTTACTCATCTGTGTAAAGGATTTAGAGGAAGGTAGTCATGTATTTGCTTTGAGTGTTTTTACTGAAGTGTTATGCTGCGAAATGTTTGGTTAGGAAAATTCAACAGTTCAGATTGTGATTGCCTTGTAATGTGAATTTATTTTTATTTATTTACTTTTTGCATAGCTTTGTGGTCACTGTCAGATACACTCAACTTTTGATATGTCAAATTTTCACATTTTGATAGCTTTTTTCTTTCTTCCAATCTTCAGTTTCTACAGTGGAAGCATCATTAGCCTTTAGCATGTGATATTTTGCTAGTAATGGACCTAAATACTTTGTCTTTATCATTCAAAAGTGCTTAACGTGCATTAAGGTCAGTGATTTGATATAGTCAAAGGATTTTTTTTTTAATGTCTGTGCATCTTTAAACATGAAGAGAATGAAAAAATATGTAATTCTTTAGACTTCGACGAGTATGGGTTGAGTTTTGCCAATTTCAATTCACGTACAGTATCCTCAGATATGTCAATAAATGTTATATTAATTAATTTTGTTTGGAGGGGAAGCTAAGTCTTATAATTGTACTTACTGGCAAAAAAAATTAAAAGACTCTTAATTTTGCAGATCAACCAGATGCTAAGAAAGTTGCTCCTCAAAATGACTGTAAGTATTTATTTTAAAACTGGATGAAGAGTTAAAGTAACTGAATTTTAATATCTAAAGTCTGTGGATATTCTTTTAGAATATCTAGCCTGAATTTCTTTGTAAATGTATACTTTTTTTTCCCTACTTCTACAATCCCTCACTTTAATTATGGCCAGGTATACACATGTTAGTAAGGTTTGGTGCTAGCATATCTCACATATTCAGTTTATTTAACTGCTCCAATTCTTAATCTGTGCTTAAACACTACACGAAAAAGGAATGTATTTTTTTCTTCTATGCTACTTTCATTTTTTTTTTTTTTTTTTTTTTTTCTGTGTCAGGAAAAGATTTTGTAATTGTCTAATATGATTATATTGTTAAATATATAGGTATGAACTTAAATTGCAAATTTACATTTTGTCTTTATTTAATTTTTTGGTAGCTTTTGGAACACAGTTACCACCGATGCATCAGCAGCAAAGGTATAGTCAAAGATTTTCAAAACGAGCTTTGTAAGTTTTTGTCTAACTATATGGATAAACACAACAAAGTTGTTGTTATTAGGTGCCAGCGAGTCAGTTCCGACTCACTGTGACCCTGTGTACAACAGAACAAAACACTGCCTAGTCCTGCACAAGCCTCACAATCATTGCTATGTTTGAGCCCATTGTTGCAGCGACTATGTCAGTCCATCTGTTTGAAAATTATCCCCTTTTTTACGGACCCTCTACCTTCCCAAGCATGATGTCTTTCTCCAGGGACTGGTAGCTCCTAATATGTCCAAAGTATGTGAGATGAAGTCTTACCGCCCTTGCTTCTAAGGAGCATTCTGGCTGTATTTCTTCCAAGACAGATTTTTTCATTCTTCTGGGAGCCCATGGTGTGTTCAATATTCTTTGCCAACACCATACTTCAAAGGTGTCAGTTCTTTTTCAGTCTTATTTATTGTCCAGGTTTTGCATGCATATGAGGCAATTGAAAATACCATGTCTTAATCTTCAAAGTGACAACTTTGCATTTTAACACTTTATAAAGAGGTCTTTTGCAGCAGATTTGCTCAGTGCAATCCATCCTTTGATTTCTTGATTGCTGCTTCCATGGACGTTGATTTTGGTTCCAAGTAAAATGAAATCCTTGATAACTTCAGTATTTTCTCCATTTATCATGGTGTTGCTTATTGGTCCAGTTGTGAGGAATTTTGTTACCTTTATGTTGAGGTGTAATCCATAGTTAAGGTTATAGTCTTTGATCTTCATCGGTAAGTGCTTCAAGTCCTCTTTACTTTCAGCAAGCAAGCTTGTGTTATCTGCATATTACTGGTTGTAAATGAGTCTTCCTCCCATCCTGATGCCTTATTCTTATAGTTCAGCTTCTCAGATTTTTTGCTCAGCATACATATTGAATAAGTAAAATGAAAGGATACAACCCTGATGCACACCTTTCCTGACTTTAAACCATGTAGTATCCTCTTGTCCTGTTTGAACGACCACCTTTTGATCTATGTTCAGATTCCTCATGAGTACAATTAAGTGTTCTGGAATACCCATTCTGTGCAGTGTTAGCCATAATTTGTTATGATCCACACGATCGAATGCCTTTGCGTAGTCGGTAAAACACAGGTAAACATCTTTCTGGTATTCTCTGCTTTCAGCCGAGACCCATCTGACATCAGTAATGATATGCTTCCTCCCACATCCTGTTTTGAATCCAGCTAGAATTTCTGGCAGTTTCCTGGTGATGTACTGCTGCAGCTGCTTTTGAATGATCTTCAGAAAAATTTTACTTGTATGTGATGTTAATGATATCGTTTGATAATTTCTGCATTCGATTGTATCACCTTTCTTTGAAATAGGCATAAATATGGTTCTCTTCCACTCAGTTTACCATGTAGCTGTCCTCTGAATTTCATGGCATAGATAAGTGAGCACTTCCAGCACTGCATCTGTTTGTTGAATCATCTCAGTTGGTATTCCATCAATTCTGGAGCCTTGTTTTTTGCCAGTGCCTTCCATGCAGCTTGGACCTCTTCCTTCAGTACAGTCAGTTCATGATCATATGCTTCCTCCTGAAATGGTTGAACATCAATCATTGCTTTTTGGTATATTGATTCTATTCCTTCCATCTTCTGTTTATGCTTCCTGTGTCATTTATTTTCCCCATAGAATCCTTCAGAATTGCAGCTCGGGGCTTGAATTCTTCAGTTCTTTCAGCTTGAGAAATGTTGCGTATGTTCTTCTGTTTTGGTTTTCTAACTCCAGGCCTTTACACATTTTGTTATAATACTTTACTTGGTCTTCTCCATCCTCCCTTTGAAATCTTCTGTTCAGCTCTTTTACTTCATCATTTCGCTTTAGCTACTCGGCGTTCAAGAGCAAGTTTCAAAGTCTGTTCTGACATCCATTTTGGTCTTTCTTTTTAGTGACAGCCAAGATAGTGTGTAGGGAGTATGTTTTTTATGTGTGTTTCATTTCCCTTGATGGATGTCACACAAAATAAGACTTTTGTTTCATTTTATTTTGAGTCAGATATATTTGTAAATTGGAAGGATAGGTGGAATTAGCCAGATTTCAGAAAAACAGTTGGAGCCCTGGTTGCACAGTGGTTAAGAACTCAGCTGGTAACCAAAAGGTTGGCAGTTTGAATCTGCCAGCTGCTCCTTGGAAACCCTGTGGGGCAGTTCTTCTCCATCTTACAGGGTTGCTATGAGTTGGAATTGACTCGATGGCAACGGGTTTGATTTGGTTTGGTTTTGGGGTGAATTAGTATAACTCTTAAGATGATATTCTCTGAACTCCACTCTCAACTCCTTTTCAGTTCATACCTTTAGACTGTTCCACACACGATCCCCTCCTTACTTGATGTGTGTCACCTTAAGATACTGAGTTTACTCAAATGATAGACTATATGGTATATTTTGGCCATGAATATGCACCTGGAACCTTAATTTAAGCCATTAGGAGCTTAAATTAAACTTCTGGTTTTTATTAGTAGACGACATTTTGTACGTAAACAAATTGTCCTTGTTTCTGGTGTTTTTTAGCAGGTCTGTAATGACGGAAGAATACAAAGTTCCAGATGGAATGGTTGGATTCAGTAAGTAACCTAATTTTAAAACTTTGTAAACATAATCAAAAGAGACTTTACAATCGTCCAACTTTTTTTTTTTTTTTTTTTTTAAACCAGTAATTGGCCGAGGAGGTGAACAGATCTCGCGCATACAACAGGAATCTGGATGCAAAATACAAATAGCTCCTGGTACTATTATTTTCTTCATATTTTCAAAGTGATTTGAAAAACAGTAGTATGTGTTTAAGTTGCTGGTGAAAATGATGCAACCTGTTAATCTTTTCATGATCTAAAATTTTCTGGTTTTGTTTTTCAATGTAGACAGTGGTGGCCTTCCAGAAAGATCTTGTATGTTAACTGGGACACCTGAATCTGTCCAGTAAGTATGACAGTCTTAAAAACGATTTAAAGTTATAACGTAAAGGTTGTTTGAACTTTGTCTTTGCTCTTAATTACTGTTTTTACCTCCCCTTCTCTGAAATTTTCCCAACTCCTTTGGAGTTTATGCTTCATGCCTTTATCAATTAAGGTTCCTCGTCTAGACCATAAACCAACCAAACCCAGTGCCGTCGATTCCGACTCATAGCGACCCTATAGCACAGAGTAAAACTGCCTCATAGGGTTTCCGAGGAGTGCCTGGTGGATTCAAACTGCTAACCTTTTGGTTAGCAGCCATAGCTCTTCACCACCACACCACCAGGGTTTCATCTAGACCATAGAACACATAAAATGATTAAAACTGACTTTGTATGTGCTTTAAACTGTTCTTTAGAGGCTGAATGTGGCCTAGAAAAGGATACATAATCAATGTCAACTGATTTCCTGTAAAACTTATCACCATTAACTTTGAGTGGACCTTCCTGTTGCCAGCATTTCCCTGTATAGTCATTCTCTTCCTCTTTTTCAAGACTATTTGATATCTTATCTCTCTCCAAATCTTCAGCATCATCCCTTCTCACAAACTTCAGCTTATTTTTCTGAAAACATAGTAGCAATCATAAGAAACGTTTCTACTTTTCCCTACCAATAAATATACCAGTCTGCCTTCTTTGAGTACATACAGTACTCAGATACTGCCTTCCTTTGTTTCCATGTGCCTAAGGCCAGCCCCTCCTTTGTATTGAAGGACATTGTCCCTGAAGTTGAACTGTCTCTTCTGCATAATTAGTTTTATCATCTCTAGTAGATAACTTCTAGCAGCATACAAACATGTTGGAAACTACCTCCCTCGCCTCCAGTCCTTAACAAAAACCATCCTTCCTTTCTATTTCCTACTCCCTTTTACAGTAAAACTCCTTAAAAGAGATGGCTCTACTTCCCATGTCATCTGCCGTTTTGCTTTGTTTTGTTTTTGTTTTCCCATTTTCTCTTGCACTCACACCAGTCAGGCCTCTATTCACACCATTCCATTGAACTTGGTTCTTGTTAAGGTCACAGAGGACATCCACATCAGTCAACCTAATAGCAGTGCTTAACACAGTGGACTATTCCCTCCCTGAAATAACTTGATTTATTTTGCCTCAGGACAGCTATTTCACTGGCTGCTCTTAGTCTCTCTTACTTGTTCTGCCTTATTTGGCCTCTCAACATGGAATTGCCACAAAATTCAGTCTTCACAAGGTATATCTGTATACATGCCTTACAACCAACCAAACCAAACTTGTTGGTGTTGAGTTGATTCTAACTCAGAGCGACCCTATAAGACAGAGTAGAGCTGCCTCATAGGGTTTCCAAGGAGATTCGAGCTACCGACCTTTTGGTTAGCAGCCAAGTTCTTAACCCCTGTGCCAGCAGGGCTTGTTAGGTGGCTTCATTTAATCCCATGGCTTTATAGATCATAAATTTTATTTATTCCTAAATTTTTATCTTCAGCCTTGATCTCTTTCCTAAGTTCTAGATTCGTATATTCAACTGACCACAGAATACCTCAGTTGACTGTCTATTAGGCATCTCATCAGATTGTTCCAAACAGATTCCTTTATTTTCACCCCACCCCAAATCTGCTTTTTTCTTATGTTCATCTTACCTCAATATGTGGCAGCTGTTTTAAAACTTTTATCTTTTCCTCATGCCCCATTTATCTATGAGCAACTGTTGGTCATCCCTCCTTCATAATTTATTGACAATCTAGCCCCTTCTTTCTACTTATACTCCCATCTTAGTCCGTGGCACCATTTGCTTATATTATTGCATAGCTTTCCACGAAAACTACATTATTTTTACTTTTGTCCCAGATTATCTTTGTTAGGTGCTGTCAAGACGATTCCAATTTATAGTGACCCTGTAGGACAGAGTAGAACTGCTCCACAGGGTTTCCAAGGCTATAATCTACTGGAATAGATTGTGACGTCTTTTCTCCCACAAAGCAGAGCAGCTGGTGGGTTTGAATCACCAACCTTTCAGTTAGTAGCCAAGCGCTTAACCATTGCACCACCAGGGCTCATTCTTATCCCTAATAGTCTGTTGTAATAGGCTAGCCATAGTGAATCTTTTAAAAAAGTAAAACAGTTCACATCACAGCTTTGCTCAAAATCTTCTAATTGCTTTCCCATTTAGTTTAGAGTAAAAGTCAGTGGTCATTCATCCCCCAACTCACTGTATTCTAGCCCCGTTAGCCTCTTTTATAGTCTTTCAGCCTACCAGACATGCTCCTCATTTGTACTTCCTGTTTGTTCTCCCTAGAACAGTTTCCCCCAGATATTTCCATAGTCACTTGCCCACTTCTTTCAGATCTTAATTAAAATATCTCCTTATCACTGAGACCTTTTGTGTAAAATCGCCTCCCTACACGCAGATAGTCCACCTTATCCTGCTTTTTCTTTATAGCACTTTCTAAATGACATTTATTTGATAAGTTATTTTTACTTAATGAAGTTCAGTGCCATTCCAGCAGAAACTAGTCTATTTTGTTGTAACCCCATTACCTAGCTGAGTGTCTGGCATATGGTTGAATGTTTGTTGAATGAATAAATGAGTTTAACACATGAATGAACAAAGTGGTCTCATTTAAAAATGTAAATAAATCATGTTCTTAGAAAAATCAGCTTAATTCTGAGAACTTTAGAAGTAGAATGCTACTACTTAGAAAATTTGGACTGTTCTCCAAAATATTGAAAATTGTATACGTAGAAAATTTATTGCATAGTATCAGAATTTTTGAACCTTGATGACGTTTTAATTAAAAATAAAAACATTGTTAAAATTTAATTTTAAGGCACTTATGTCTAAATTGCATTGGGAGGAGTTCATGATTGTATTATTTTATATTTCTCTTTGGATAAGCTTCTTGGTATGTTGTAACTCACTACATGAATATTAATTTGTTAACAGATCAGCAAAACGGTTATTGGACCAAATTGTTGAAAAAGGAAGACCAGCCCCTGGCTTTCATCATGGTGATGGACCAGGAAATGCAGTTCAAGAAATAATGATTCCAGCTAGCAAGGCAGGATTAGTTATTGGGAAGGGAGGAGAAACTATTAAACAACTTCAGGTATTATTGTGTTTGTATAATAAATGTTTTTAGTTTGCTTTGTTGCCAGTTTTCCCCAATCTCTCATTTGTTAATGTATACGATTTCTACAATTGTAACAGGAGCGGGCTGGAGTTAAAATGGTTATGATTCAAGATGGACCTCAGAACACTGGTGCTGACAAACCTCTTAGGATTACAGGAGACCCATACAAAGTTCAGGTAAGCTTTATATTTGTAAAAAGGGAGTTGGGATTGGGTGGCAAAATGGGCAAACCACGCAGGAATAATTAAAATGTTTTGAGACATGCTTTCTAAATTTGCTAAATTTTTTTACTTCAGCAAGCCAAGGAAATGGTATTAGAGTTAATTCGTGATCAAGGTGGTTTCAGAGAAGTTCGAAATGAGTATGGGTCAAGAATAGGAGGAAATGAAGGGATAGATGTAAGTAAAAATACCTATTCAAAAATGGTTATATGTTAATCCATAAATATAGTAGTAGTGTTCTTCCTGTATTGTGTTAGATAGCCCTCTAACATTTTAATCCATTTTCCCACTTTCTACCTTAGAATACAGACGTGTATATTTTGTATCTCTTTGCTCTATTTGATATAAATCTAGTACCAAAATATATATACTTTGTTGATTTGATGCAGATTAATTTTCAGGAAGTATGTGGCTATCTTAATACTTAATCTTCTTTGTATAAGGTCCCCATTCCAAGATTTGCTGTTGGCATTGTAATAGGAAGAAATGGAGAGATGATTAAAAAAATACAAAATGATGCCGGTGTTCGAATTCAGTTTAAGCCAGGCAAGTACATTACTTAATCTAAATGTTGGTGGCAATTACTATTTTTGTTTTTTGGGGTTTTTTTTTTTTTTTTTTTTTTTTGTGATGTCTTTACCTCGCTTTAGTACTTGGGTTATGCTGGCTTCATAGTTTGTTTTGAAGATGATGGAACAACACCTGATAGAATAGCACAAATAACAGGACCTCCAGACCGATGTCAACATGCTGCAGAGATTATTACAGACCTCCTTCGAAGTGTTCAGGTTTGATAGAACATTAACATTTTCAGTGTTTTGTTTCCATTTGTAAAGTTTTCATCAGATGTGAAAGTTCTCCCTTACACTTTTATATCAGAGTCTGCTTGATGATGCTTTATTAATGGCTAGAAAATTTAAACTGCTCTGAGGTAGATATCTTGGAGCTCAAAGAAGGCTACATAAGTGTCTTGTCGTACTCACCCCTGTATAAAAAGAACGAATGCTGGTTATTATTTGGGCTAAGTCATCTCTGAACGTCTGTAAATTTCAAGTTCAGGTATATGAGAGTTGGAAGAACAGATATGTCATAATTTCATCATGGAAAGGGTTGATAACTTTGTTACTTCTTGTCTTTCTCCTCCTCAGGCTGGTAATCCTGGTGGACCTGGACCTGGTGGTCGAGGGAGAGGTCGAGGTCAAGGCAACTGGAACATGGGACCACCTGGTGGACTACAGGAATTTAATTTTATTGTACCAACTGGGAAGACTGGATTGATAATAGGAAAAGGCAATGTATTTTAAACTCAGTGTTTTAATGTGTAGTTAAAATTTTGATACATTACCTAATTTTTCTGTTTCTGTTGCTTTTGTAAACAAGTGGCAATGATTTTTCTTAGGCAGTATTTTAGTAGAAAACTATTCTTATGTTGATAGCTAGAAACTAAAACATAAAAAAAGGTTTTTACATGTACTGAAGTTAAAAACGTGGGATTGGATCACATAGAGTAGTGGGACCAAGAGTTTTAAGTGTTAGTGTAAGAAACATTATTTTGACCTAAAAAGTAGTTTTGGGAGGTTTTTGTTTTTGTTTTGCTTTTCCTGGCTTTCATGTCTTTAAATTTTTGAGTTTATATTTGCTTCTGTTATGCTTGTAAAAGAGCAATTTATTTGAACCAAATATTTTAGTAAGTTATCAATTTTAAAGTTGGGATTTCAACAGAAGCATGAAATGCTTCATATGATTTGTTTTTAAAGTGTAGAATAAATGGATAATGGTAACAGAATTTTGTGAGATAGGATACTGACCAAAACTTTGTTTTTAAATGGCCCATTTAGTTGTGACTATTTTCTTTTGAATAGTTTCTCTTGTATCTTTTTGAATCTATAGAGAAATTACTGTCTTTGATTTTAGGAGGTGAAACTATAAAAAGCATAAGCCAACAGTCTGGTGCAAGAATAGAACTTCAGAGAAATCCTCCACCAAATGCAGATCCTAATATGAAGTTATTTACAATTCGTGGCACTCCACAGCAAATAGACTATGCTCGGCAACTTATAGAAGAAAAGATTGGTGTGAGTATACTTTTAATTACTAATTTATAGCATAGATACTGTTGGTTAAATAAGATAAGAATTCACATCCACTTGTCAGTGCTACAGAGAATGTACAGTTTCTAGTCTGAAATTAAAGATTTTATGACACACCAAAAAGAGGAGGGGGTTCCAACAATAAATAATCCAATTAAATATGCAGTTACAGGTGTTCAGAACCTTACATTTGGTTTATAGTAAAGATTGTTTTGGTGTGGGTAGGTAAGAGGGTAGCATTGCCTGCAAACAAGCCATTAGGGTTGGTGGAGTATTGTAGAAGGAAATAGTTAAAGAGAATTTAATATTTTTTGATGGCTTACTATACCTGACCCTGGTGTGACAAAGGTGAATCAGATGCATCCCCCACTCTAGAATAGAAATTTGCAAATCCTTGTTCTTGGCCTGGCTCAAAATCTGGGGAGTTTTAGAATGCATATTACTTGAGTGCTTTCATCCCTACACACACCCATGTACTACATGTAACAACACGCTGCAGACAGTTCTGATTCAGGATCTGTGACTAGGGCCCAGCATCTAATTTTTTAGAAAGCTGTTCCGGGTAATTCTCATACACAGCCAAATTTGGAAATTTTTCCGCTAGAGAGGTTTCCTGATGGTATTGCAAAAATGGATGAAGAGTCTTGACCGGCTTTTTCATAAATGAGACAAATAGTGCTTTATTGGGTTCAGTTCTTTTACTACGAAGAGTTAAAGTGTGAGGGATCATCTTAAATTATTAATAGTATCATATTTTTTGCAAGTAACGTGCCCATGTAAATAACATGCCCACACATATAGCCTGGTAGTGCACCTAGGAAAATAGCGTGCAAGAGGGTTGTGCGGATGGTCAAAACCATATAATGTGCGCATTGTTTGCGTAAAAATCTGTAGTTAGGATTTTTTAGGGAAATTCTCCTTGGTGCTTTGCATGCTGTGAATGGGGTGCAGAAGGCCTTTATGTACAAAAAACACTTTAAGAACAGCTTATAAAAATGTACACAAACATTCTAAGTTCTGTGATGTGGACAATAAGTATAATTGTTCACAAAATGAAGGAAATGTTGATTCAGTAATGGCAGAGGTTGGTGCCAAAGCAGAAAAATGAATGACGTCTTGATTTTGGATATTACTAGCCTAACATGCATGGATCAGGATTTCTGTTGGATTAATGGGGAAGTAAGATAGGTTGTTTGGAATAGTTTAGTGGTTAAAAGCATGAACTCTGGAGTTAGACTGCCTAGGTTGACTCCTGTCAACTCTTTTCTGGTTGTTTGACCTTGAGGAAATTATTACGTTCTTCTGTGCCTTAGTTTCCTTCTCTGTAAAATTAAAATAATGATATCTACCTTACTGAGTTGTAGTTTTGGGAAATAATTGAGTGAACGTGTGTGTGTGCGTGCGTGCGCACACGCTTATCACTTCAAAAAGTGCCCGACATATACAGCCCTATAAAATGTTGCTACATTTTCAGTATTGATTTTTTTTTTTTCTATTTGGGAAGGATGGGTAATGGATAATAGAAGCAAGGGATAAAGCCAGCAATTGGAGAGTTAGAGAGATAGTAAAAGGGAGTTTCAAAGTCATGATGTTTAGCCTTATTTTGTAGTAGGAAATTGACAACCAGCTGTGGTTTAAGCATTTTTTTCAAAATGCCTCATGGTGAATATTAATTGCATAAAAGGAGTTGTTTTAGGACATTTAATCTGATGGTCTTTGCAAGTTGGATTATCAAAAGAGAAATCAGCTAAGCATTATTAATTATGATGTAACTTGGTAAGGGTATGAAATATCTTTGTTTGTTGAATGCATTATAAAGGGAATTTTGATGCTGTTTAGAAAATTAAGACAAGTGAAAGGCAAAGGAGGAAATGATTTTAAATTCTTGGTCTAAATGGGGTTCCAGTGACAGAAATAGAAAGGTTATAAAGAGAACATTAGCTTGTTTGAGAAAGAGATAGGTTGATTATCAGTGAAATGTTCAGTACTGACAGTCCCTGGGTTACAAACGAGATCCCTTCGTAAGTGTGTCTTTCAGTGGAATTTGTAGGTAAATCAGAATAGGAGCATACGGTTCTTATTTAGCCTTACTTTAGTGCAAGAAAGGTCTAAGTTGCACATACTGCAAGCGAAGGTGATTGTGATGAAGGATTTGTTGCAAACGGGTTGATTCAGTTGTTTCAAAGTGAGGGCAAAGTTACGTAACATTAAAAGGCCAAGTACAAGTTGTCCTTAAATCTGTAATCCCGGGTACTTACTGTAGTTAGTTTGCAATATAGGACCTAAGTAATTTGGGGAGTATATTATCAAGATGGTTATCTCATTGATGTTAAGATAGTGGATGGAGAGAGAGAAGTGCTAATACAGGCTTCACATTTTATAGGCTTCCCCAATTAAGATGAAGATGAAATAGTAAAAATAAGAATTATAAAAGGAAAGGGAGATAGTACTGTCTGAAGAGACTAGAATAGAGCCAAAGGAAACATTTCATTTTTTTGTTAATGTTACTGATTTTAATGAATTTTACATGTCTCATTAACATGACAGAGTTAAGATTGTTCTGTAATATGAGTGAGGAAAGAAAGGAAAATCTAAAACTTAATTGCTTGTGAATGTGTAAGAGGATAGAAATGGAAGATTATTTGGCCATGGGATTGTTGAATCATCACTTTGTTTTTCTGATTTTTGTGTCGTCTTGCCTTTTTGCAGGGTCCGGTAAATCCTTTAGGGCCACCTGTACCCCATGGGCCACATGGTGTCCCAGGCCCCCATGGACCTCCTGGGCCTCCAGGGCCTGGAACGCCAATGGGGCCATACAATCCTGCACCTTATAATCCGGGACCACCTGGCCCTGCTCCTCAGTAAGTATTGAGTTTGGTTCTGGGCTTTTATCCCAAAGAGTCTAGCTTTTGGTGTATTTTCATATTCCTTTTATCTTTTCAGTGGTCCTCCAGCCCCGTATGCTCCCCAGGGGTGGGGAAATGCCTATCCACACTGGCAGCAACAGGCTCCTCCTGATCCAGGTAAATGATGCATTCCATTCACGGGTAATATGTATTGCTACATTTTTAAATTTTGTAGTATTGATTCTACACTATGTGCATTGCACCCATTCTTTCTGCCAAGAGTTAGGCACTGGGAATAAGACTGACATAAATATGGTTTCTGCTTTCATGAACTTTTTTCTACCCGCATTTGGCTTTTTCAGATTGGTACAGCAGAGTGCTGAGAGCCAAAAGCTACAGGAAGAAGTATAATTTTTTAGGTTTTAAATGCTGATAAAATGTGTAGTTTGTTAATTGTGACATAATGTGAGCCAGTAGTAAGTGTACATTTATAAAATTATATGAGATTCTAATGGAGTGTTAAATTTTTGGGTATTAAACTCCCAAATTCTCAAATAAGATAGTAAAGCAATCTGTTCTAGTACTCCTGATAAGGCAACTTCACATATTAGCAAAAATCAGGCCTATATTCTAACATGCCTGTGTTTAATGCATGTTAGAACTCTAAAATACATTGTTATATGTTTTTTTATTCACATCTGAATTTCATATATACTATTCACATCTGAATTTCATATATACTATGAGTCAGAATCGACTTGATCACAGTGGGTTTGGTTTTTGGTTTATTCTATTCTTGCATCTCCCTCTACCCCTTAGTTTTCTTCCTGTCTTGGTCAAGGAGGTATTCCTCGAAACCAATTTATTTATGATCCAGTTTCTTTTTTTTTTTTTTTTT